TGCCTGGGTATCAGCAGCAGAGGCTGTAGAAGATAGAATATTTCTGAACAGCGAGTGTACCTGTCTGATTCTTGCTTTGGAAGCTTCCTCTCAGGGGTGTACTCCACCCTGTGAGGTGTGGGGTGTCAGACTGCCCCTAGTGGGGGATGTCTCCCAGTTAGGCTACTCAGGGGTCAGGGACCCACTTGAGCAGGGAGTCTGTCCCTTCTCAGATCTCAACCTCCGTGTTGGGAGATCCACTGCTCTCTTCACAGCTGTCAGACAGAGTCATTTGCGTCTGCAGAGGTTTCGGCTGTGTTTGTTATTGTTTACTGTGCCCTGTCCTCAGAGGTGGAGTCAAGAGAGAGAGGCAGGTTTCCTTGAGCTGCTGTGAGCTCCACCCAGTTGGAGCTTCCCAGCAGCTTTGTTTACCTACTTAAGCCTCAGCAATGGCGGGCGCCCCTCCCCCAGCCTCGCTGCTGCCTTGCCGGTAGATCACAGACTGCTGTGCTAGCAATGAGGGAGGCTCCGTGGGTGTGGGACCCTCCCGGTCAGGTGTGGGATATGATATCCTGGTGTGCCTGTTTGCTTAAAGCGCAGTATTGGGGTGGGAGTTACCTGATTTTCCAGGTGTTGTGTGTCTCAGTTCCCCTGGCTAGGAAAAGGGATTCCCTTCCCCCTTGCGCTTCCCAGGTGAGGCAATGCCTCGCCCTGCTTCAGCTCTCGCTGGTCGGGCTGCAGCAGCTGACCAGCACCGATCGTCCGGCACTCCCCAGTGAGATGAACCCAGTACCTCAGTTGAAAATGCAGAAATCACCGGTCTTCTGTGTCGCTCGCGCTGGGAGTTGGAGACTGGAGCTGTTCCTATTCGGCCATCTTCGATAGTCACAATTTCAACTGCTGACTGGCTGTGCAGCTGTGGTCTCCTCACTCTTCACAGTCCAGGGCTCTTTCTTTCCCTCCAAAAAAGTCACCAGGTCCAGCTTAGAGATGGCAAGACCCTTTCCCAGCTTTCAGGATGTCCTGGCATCTTAGCTGTGCGTCTCTCCCGACCTGCAGATCACAGGGCAACAGAGGCCGTCACAGAGTCACCAAGGGCTCCCGAGGTGAAGAACGTAGAAGAGTGGAGACCTCTGTTAGTCATTTTTAAGATAATTCAGCTGGCAAAATTTTCTTAGTTTTCCTTCATTGAGCATATTTTGATTTTCCCTTTTTTTCCTGAAGGAAATAGTCACAAAGTAAGATTCTTGGTTGACAGTTGTTCTTTTTTACAGCACTTGAAAAATGCACTTCCTTTGGTGACTTCTGATGAGAAATCTGCTCATATTAGAATATTTTTTCCTTTACATTGCTGTTTTTCTCTGGCTACTTTTATGACTTCCTCTGTCTTTAGTTTTCAGAATTTTAAATATGTCATGTCTCAGTATTGATTTCTTTGGGTTTATGTTGTTTGGACTTTGCTCACCTTCTTGAATTTGTAGGTTTTGCCTCTTGCCAAATGAGAAAAGTTTTCAGGCATTGTTTTCTCAAGTACTTTTAAGCCTTACTATCTTTTCCCTCTTCTTCTAGACTCCAATTACATAAATTTAGATATTTTGTTAATAGTACCACATGTCCCCAAGGGTCTGGTTTTTTGTTTTTTTGTTTTTTTTTTTGTTTGTTTTTAATTCAACCTACTTTCTCTGTTGTTTGCTGTTTAGGTTGGGTAATTTCCATGATTTTATCTTGAATTTGTGAAATTCTTTCCAGTTTCCCTTCCATATTGCTCTTAAACCCATCTACTGAGTTTTTAAAATGTCAAATATTGTGTTTTTCAGTTCTAAAACTACTATTTAGTTCCTCTTTTCATCTTCCATTCCATTGCTGAGATGTTCTGATTCTTCATTTGTTTGAATGTGTTCTAATGGGTTACTGAGGCTTTAAAATATTTATCACCTAATTCTAACATTATTGTTCTGTTGGTGTTGGCCTTTATCAGGCATCTTTTTTTTCCATTTAGTTTGAAATCTTAGTGGTTATTGATGTAATGGGTGATATTCTATTGAAACCTGGACATTTGGGGTATTATATAATGAGATTAGCTCTTATGTAAACCTTTGATTTTAACTGAATTCTTCTGACACCACTCCAGCAGAAGAATAGAGGTCCCACCTTATTACCCAGTTCCTCACACTGTTTCCATTCATAACCAAACCAAACAGACTCCTCCCTGAGCGAGGTGGTAGTTCTAGCTCTCCACTAGGCCTCCATTGATAGCTCTCTGCCTGAGAAAGGGAGGAATGCCTTGTTACTGCTTCCCATATGGCATCCACTGATGGTGGGGCGGGAAGGAGGTAAAAATCTTGACTTTCCACTAGGTCACCTGTGACACGATCTCAGTGGGAAGGAGGGGCACCTCGTTACTGCCAAATGGAGGTGGAAGTCCACCTTTCCACTTGGACTCCACTGCATTGCCAAGGGTGATGCTGAAAGTTTCAGACCCCTACTCATTCTTTTCTGACACCATGATAGTGAGTGAGTTGAGGCGCTGCAATACAGCTTGGCAAACAAAAGTGGAAGTCTACCCATGCTTGGCCTTTGCTGGCCTGGGTGGGTGTGGGGCCACATTTTTTCAGTGGGTTTAACTGGAGTAGTGTAGTTATTATCAAACAGATTTCTGTCTGGCTAGGCTTGTCTTTTCATTTGGCTAGAGAGAGTGGACTTTTGTCATGTTTTCCTTTTGCTGTCCTTGTGTTACCAGGTTGCTGGCTTCTTCAGATCTAAGTCTGGGATATATAAGGCAAAAAGAAAATGCAGGGAACTCAATACTTAGGTCTTTCCTTAGGTCTCAGTGTCTCTGGATGGTCTGTCTTCTCTTTGCCTTTCAAAGTTATCTTATGTTTGTTTATTTATAATTTTCAGGGTTTTAAATTATACTTAGTGGGAGGACTAGGGAAAAATACATTTATTCCATAGTTCTACATGCAGAAATCTCCAAAACCAAAATTATTTTACTATTCATTTTTGCCATTTCATTAGGTGAAATTAAAAAGACAAAAACCCATCCTCTAAAATACATTTTAACTATTAGAACATATTTTGAATAACTCAGGTTACTATCTATGAAAGATTTTTTTAAATGTTGCCTAAAACATAAAGGTATAAAAATGAGCAATTAAAGAAATCATTGTAGGAATGAAGAATTCTTATGAAGATGATGATACATAAATAATTCTTCTTGACCGTCATAATTTATGAATATTTGATCTCTTCAACAATTATATTTTTAAAGGTTGTTGTAAGTCAGTGTTGTAAGTGTAAGTCAGTGTTGTAAGTGTAAGTCAGTGTTGTAAGTCAGTGTTGTAAGTCAATTGTACTGACCAATGGGAGCCATAGATATTCTTTCATTAAACTAAAAAAAACACCCACTCCTTGTAGGTAATCCAATCAATTCAAAACAGTTGACTATGACAGTTTCCCTCCATCCAATTCCATTTCCTAGAAGTAACCACATCCAGTTTGTAGTCTGTGTTTACACTTTCAGTCATGCTCTGCCGCTTCACTTAGCCACTCCTGCTTTTCCTTTTCAGCTTCTCTCTCTATTCATCTTTTGTAAGTTTATCCTTCTATCTCTGGCTGTTAAACATGGAAAGACTTTCAGACTTTGTTCTAGAACGTTTTTCCTCAATTCATATTGTTTTGCTTTGTGACTCATCTATGTTCCTATTTCAATTACCATTTACACTCAAATTACTCATATATTTATGTTTCTAGTTCAGATTTCTGGTCTTAATATCAAATCAATAACTCCAGCTCTCTGTTTGACGACTCCTTTTGGATATCTAAAGAGTACTTCCAACCCAACGTTGCCAAAACTGGATAGATGATCTTTCCTTACAGCCTCTTTCAGATTTTGCATCTCAGTGAATAGTACCACTGTATATTGAATTATTTTCACTAGAAGCTTAGGAGTCATTATTGATCCCCTTTCATTTTCACCTTCCTTTTCCAATTAATCAAGTCCTGTGGCTTTTCCCTCCTGAATCTGCATAATCCTTTCAATGTCTGTGACCAAGCTTCATCATAAACCACCTAGGCCAATATAGTAGTTTTTAAAATGGACTCTCTGCTTCTGTCTGATTGTTCTTAAATTATTTTTTTACTCTGTAGCCAGAGAGGTATCCTCAAAATAAAATCTGGTTATGTTACATGTCTGCTTAAAATATTTCAAATTTTTAGTTGCTCTTATGATAAATATCTGAGTTCTTAACATGACCTAGGACAGTATCTGCCTCAATAAATATTTGTAGAAGAATGAAAAAAACTTATGGTTTACAGTATTTTCTGTTAAAATAGTATTACTATACACATGTATCTCTGTATGCATCAGAGATTCTTTTTTCTTATTAATATTTCTGTTGGATATGTTTCTAGAAGTGAAGTTGCTAGTATAGTTTGGATTTTATCTATTAAAAATGAAGGTTAATAGAGATGTGGTGCAGTGCCTTGTAGTCATCGAGAAAAAACATCCATTAAGAGAAAAAAGAGGTGACGGATCTAGGAAGATCAGTAATGGTTTATTAAGGGAGTCATCCTGTACCTTCTGTCTGATGGAAGGAGTTATATCTCAAAGAAACACCAAATAATTTAAGGATTTTTTTGAGAGCTTATGCCACAAGCAGATCTAGGTTAAATATTTTGTAAGACAGAGCAAGGAGAAAAGAACAAATGAATCACATTTTTATATTCATAACAGATGTGATTTATTTCTGTAAATCACTCATACATTTAGTTTGCTTACATGTCTTTCTTACAGTATATTATAATTAGGTAGTATAAAGAAAGGCATGATTTGAAATGGGATAATAAAAAGGTAATAAAAATAATGTATGAATTATAATTTTTAGAGAAATCAAGGTTTACTAGTATCTAAGACCATTTGGGCTGCTGTAAACAAAACACTGTATGTTGGTTAGCTTATAAACAATAGAAATTTATTGCTCACAGTTCTGGAGGCTGGGGGGTCTAAAATTGAGGCATACCAGATTCAGTGATTGGTGAGGGCTCACTTTCTGGTTCATAGACGGCGGCGACATGCTGTTTTCTCACATGGTGGAAGGGAGCGAGGGGTTTCTTTCATCCCTCTTTTATAAGGGAGCTAATCACATTGGTGAGTGTTCTTCTTTATGACCTAATCATCCTCTAAGGGCCCCAGCTCCTAATACCAACACCTTGGGTGTTAGGATTTCAACATATAAATTTTGGGGGAACAAAAACATTCATACCATAGCAACTAGTGTAGTTGATACTGCGCAGAATCGTGAAATAGGCAAATAATATTTTTAGAGATGTGTCTCTGCTTCCTTTGATCCATGGCCCTTTAAGGAAGACGGTGTGTCTTTGTGCATATGACATCAGCAGGGAGCATCACAAAGGCATCAGATGCCGAAAAGGTGGGGGACTAGGAGAGGCAGGTTGCTGCTAGCGCCGCACTACTAGTTCTATGACCTTGGGCAAGCTAGTTAATCTCTGTGAGACTTATTTTCCTCATTTGAAAATAATGATAATAACTGTTTTACCTGTAAAGTAGATTTGATGTGATCATTTATTATTTATTGATGCATTTATTTGTAATTACACATTTTTTGGTTGAGCTGATACTAAAACACTTTATTCCTGATTTTATTCATAAATTTGCATACCAGAAAGATAGAATTGTATAATACAGGGGCATTAATAGCTTTAAAAACTTTTTTTAGGAGCTTCTCAGGCTGCAAAGTGATTCATAATGGCCTCTTAGAGCACTGAGAGGTACCATGAAACTCTGAGTTAACATGCTTTATATAACCCATGTACTCAAAGGGAGTAAAACACTCTGATTTTCATAAGTAGCTCTTTACAAACTCCTACTGTTCTGTTTTTCACTCTAGTCTTTTTTGTTTATACTGAAATGTGTAGATTAAGTAGCTTTATGTTTATTTATTTATTTTTTTGCTATTAATTTTGTATCAGCCGCTTTGAGGATGTTTAAACCAAACACTGATTTAATTGCTCTGTTTATCATTTCTTCTTGTTCTAGGCAATGGACCTCATCATGACCGTTGCTGTACTTACAATGAAAACAACTTGGTGGATGGTGTGTATTGTCTCCCAATAGGACACTGGATTGAGGCCACTGGGCACACCAATGAAATGAAGCACACAACAGACTTCTATTTTAATATTGCAGGCCACCAAGCCATGCATTATTCAAGGTAAAAATAGTGCTATATTTATAAGCATAGAAGTGGTACAAGAGGTAGCATTAGCAACAATGGAAATATTTACTGTGTTCAAAACTGCAATGTCTCACTTTGGAGGGGTCTATAGGCCTGTTATACTTTCAGGAGATAATTACAGTGAATCAGTGTGTAAGCTTTTCTGGGTCTAGATGTGGAGGATTTTAAAAATAGAATTCTTTAATAAATGCATACCCTAGCATCAATATATTTTGACCAGATAGTAGCTAACCAATCTCTGTATTTATGTAGTGGATTAAAAATAAAAACTTCACTAACATAGTCTAAATTAGTATTTGTGTCCTTTATGCTACTGACTACCAGTGAAACAAAAATTGGTATTTCCTTATAACATCTTATTTAAATAAATATGTGTGAAAATACACAGAACTAGATTGAATGTGATTATCTGCTTCATTATTTGTTAATATTTTGATTTATTTGTTCATTTAATTCCTAAACCAGGAGGTTGCTAAATAAAACGTAAGGCTCATTATCCTTTTCTCCTTTCCCACTCATCAGAAATGATTATTTTTAATCACTTTCTGGTTAGTTTTTCTTGAGATTAAATCTAAATCTTAAACAATATGCATATGTGTTGCTTGTTAATGTACCAGTTTAACAATAGCTATTGATTCCCCTCTGTTACACATAGGAAATTGACGTCTCTCATACTTGTCCTCTCTCCCCACTCCAGTCCCTACCAGGCATTTTTTGAAAAGTTCCATTGTTACTTACCATCATACAAATTCTATGTCTTGACCCATCAGTTTTTCACAATGTCTCCTAGTTTCCTACATTGTAAGAGCGGAGATTTTTTTTTCTTCTTGTATTTTTTTTCCACATCTCTTTCCACCTACTGACCCCTGCCTTTAAATTACTTTTATAATTTCAAGGCTTATCGAATTTACATTAAACTTAGTAAATATACATTTCTTTCACACTTTTATTATTTAAAATTTAAAAGCAATTGCCAACATTTAAAATATTATGTGTTATTTACTGTAGAACTTACAGTATTTGTGCCATACACAAGGAGATGCATTCTCATGTTCTTAAAGAACGTGTTGTTTTGAATGAAAGATACAATTAATAAAACACAGTTGTGAGGGGTAAAAGAGAGAGAAAATGCAATTTCACAATAGTTTTAGGCAATTAATATTCCTCTTGAACACATCTTTCTTTCAAACTTCTGGTAGATGTTGGCTTTGCTGGTGGGTTATATGCATAGAATGAGGAAAAGAAGAGTTAAGCATGTCTCGTGGCTTTATGGCCTGAGCTACTGAATTAATGGTGTTGCTGCTTACTGAGATGGGGAAGACTAGGAGATGAGCAATTTGAAGTAGGAATTGAGGTGAAAGTTCTACTTTAGTCATTTCTTGAAATGTCTGTTAGATTACAGGAAGCAAATTGATTTGATTTCAGGAATTTTAGGGAGAGCTTGGAAATAAAGATACAGAATTGGCAGTTATCAAGACATAGATAGCATTCAAAATGATGAGTCTAGATGAGACAATAGTAAATGAGTGAAGTATAGAAGAGACAAAGAGAAGAAGCAAAAATATTGAGCCCTGGTGCACACAATTTAGAAGTCAAGGATAAGCAGAAGATCCAGAGAAAAGAATGAGAAGGAACACCTCTTGAGATGGTCTGACATTTAATGAGGATGTGTATATGGGTTCTTTTAAATTGATCCTGAACCACATTTCCTGAATGAACCCTTTTTTCTGAAGAGTCATGTCTTGGGCTCTGGAGTTTTTATTTCCACTGTATAATTATTTCTTCTCCTTGATTGCCTTTGTTCTTTGTCATCAGAGACACTCCTTACATGGATGTTGGACCTCTTGGATTTACATTTTATGTTTGTCAACTTTTTTATTGCTTTACATTTTGAGAGGCTTCTTAATTTCCAATTCAATATCAATTTTTTTCCTTAATTTTGGTAATTGTATTCTTAATTTTCATGGACTTTTACTTATTCAGTTATTCACTTTTTGCATATTAGTTTGTCCTTGTTTATGAATGAGTATATTCATGAATCTTAGAATACTAATGAAAGTTATTTTTAAGTTCTCTTCTCTATTTTTTTTTTCTTTTCAACTTGTTTATTGTAATCCTTAACATAAGTCATTCTTTCTGAGCCTCAACTCTGAACACATAAAATGGGGATAAGGTTGTTACAGGGGCTGAATGATGCAACAATATAAACAACTTTTAATATTATGATCAGTCCACCTCCATACGGTTTTCCATAATGGTTGTGCTAATTTATATTACTACCAGCAGTTTGTCAAGGTTCTCTTGTCTCTATATCCTCGTCAACACTTGGTGTTTTATGATTTTTTAATTGTAGCCATTCTGATTAGAGTGAGGTGTTATCTTCTTGCAGTCTTGATTTGCATTTCCCTGCTAATTAGTGATATTGAACATTTTTTTTCATATATCTTGGCCATTTGTATGTCTTCTCTTTTTTATTATTATTATACTTTAAATTCTAGGGTACATGTGCACAACGTGCAGGTTTGTTACATATGTATACTTGTGCCGTGTTGGTGTGCTGCACCCATCAACTCATCAGCACCCATCAACTCGTCATTTACATCAGGTATAACTCCCAATGCCATCCCTTCCCCCTCCCCGCTCCCCATAATAGGCCCCAGTGTGTGATGGTCCCCTTCCTGTGTCCAAGTGATCTCATTGTTCAATTCCCACGCATGAGTGAGAACATGCGGTATTTGGTTTTCTGTTCTTGCGATAGTTTGCTGAGAATGATGGTTTCCAGCTGCATCCATGTCCCTACAAAAGACACAAACTCATCCCTTTTTATGGCTGCATAGTATTCCATGATGTATATGTGCCACATTTTCTTAATCCAGTCTGTCACTGATGGACATTTGGGTTGATTCCAAGTCTTTGCTATTGTGAATAGTGCCGCAATAAACATACGTGTGCATGTGTCTTTATAGCAGCATGATTTATAATCCTTTGGGTATATACCCAGTAATGGGATGGCTGGGTCATATGGTATTCCTAGTTCTAGAACCTTGAGGAATTGCCATACTGTTTTCCACAATGGTTGAACTAGTTTACAATCCCACCAACAGTGTAAAAGTGTTCCTATTTCTCCACATCCTCTCCAGCACCTGTTGTTTCCTGACTTTTTAATGATTGCCATTCTAACTGGTGTGAGATGGTATCTCATTGTGGGTTTGATTTGCATTTCTCTGATGGCCAGTGATGGTGAGCATTTTTTCATGTGTCTGTTGGCTGTATGAATGTCTTCTTTTGAGAAATATCTGTTCATATCCTTTGCCCACTTTTTGATGGAGTTGTTTGTTTTTTTCTTGTAAATTTGTTTGAGTTGTTTGTAGGTTCTGGATATTAGCCCTTTGTCAGATGAGTAGATTGCAAAAATTTTCTCCCATTCTGTAGGTTGCCTGTTCACTCTGATGGTAGTTTCTTTTGCCATGCAGAAGCTCTTTAGTTTAATTAGATCCCATTTGTCAATTTTGGCTTTTGTTGTCATTGCTTTTGGAGTTTTAGACATGAAGTCCTTGCCCATGCCTATGTCCTGAATGGTGTTACCTAGGTTTTCTTCTAGGGTTCTTATGGTATTAGGTCTAACGTTTAAGTCTCTAATCCATCTTGAATTAATTTTCGTATAAGGAGTAAGGAAAGGATCCAGTTTCAGCTTTCCACTTATGGGTACCCAATTTTCCCAGCACCATTTATTAAATAGGGAATCCTTTCCCCATTTCTTGTTTTTGTCAGGTTTTTCAAAGATCAGATGGCTGTAGATGTGTGGTATTACTTCTGAAGGCTCTGTTCTGTTCCATTGGTCTATATCTCTGTTTTGGTACCAGTACCATGCTGTTTTGGTTACTGTAGCCTTGTAGTATAATTTGAAATCAGGTAGCGTGATGCCTCCAGCTTTGTTCTTTTGACTTAGGATTGTCCTGGCAATGCGGGCTCTTTTTTGGTTCCATATGAACTTTAAAGCAGTTTTTTCCAATTCTGTGAAGAAACTCATTGGTAGCTTGATGGGGATGGCATTGAATCTATAAAGTA